CCTAAAAGACTATCAAACGAAACTGAATATCAATAATGATTGTCCCATGAAATATTTCAAGAAATTGTTAAGACATAATATGAAACTCCTTTGATAGATTAATTCGAATTATATCTGAACAAGAAATGTGATTTCCATGCAAATCGAATCCTGGAACTTCCACAGTAGACGCTTCCACTATTAATTGGGAGTAATTGAAAAAACTGGTGAATCAGGGCGACGGGTATATTGGTTGTACCCCACTAGCCTAGTCAACCATGGTATCCCCAGTTCGATGAACCATATTCACAAAGTCCTATATATGTCAATCCTAATGCAAATCTTTCACTCTCTTCTTCTAGGTAACAGCAAACCCTTGATCGATCTGCATTTTTTCCTGATTGTGAAAAAAATTTCAGGCAGAGCTTGTTGAGACAACCACTTCCTGAGTGTATTGTTTGGCTGCTTGTAGTATAACTTACCACAGCCACTCAAAAACAGTATACCCTAACAACACGGGATCTTGCTGGTACATCCCGCTAAGGTCCTACAAATGTCCCAATGTTTCAGACTTAGGTACGATATCCCAGAGATGTTTCTCTTGGGACATCAGTCAGATGTTTTCATTGGATGTTCTAGAAACATCCCATTTGATCTTTTTTTTCATAAACAGTTCAAACAATTGTGACATTATTTGAAACATTGAGAAGTTGATAAAAAATGGAAATCATAACTGTATTCGTACATACATACTCATACCTATACCAAAGCCGGCTAATTTCATCGATATCAAATAGAAATAATTTTACTAAATATTCCTCAATAAGATTACCAAAGTACCTGCTTAACTTCATGAACCATGTAATAAACGACAAAATCAAAATATATCTATCTCTTCAGAATATTTATTGCTGTATTTATTTATTATACCAGCCGATAGATGGCGGTACAACTACGATGCAAAGAGTTACTAACAGCCGTCGGCCCAGCGCCAACAAATATGAGCCTCAAACAACTGTTATCATCTTCCATTAGTTATTGGACCGCACCGACCTTATATTTTCGGATTCGGATTGTTACTTTATATCTGGAAATAGGTCGGCCATTTTCAGGATTTCTGATTGAAAATAATCCATACCGTGTCATCCATTACTGTAATCAAACAAAAAATATCCTATATAAAAATTTCTTTAAGACGTTCCATATCAAGTACCCTGAATGTCTCTGGTACATCCCGTAACATCCCACAAACATTCTGATGGGATGTTTTTAAGACATTGCAAATGCTGACACGGGTGTTGCCAGCAACATCCCAAGAATATCCCAAGGAAAATAGGGATTTTCCAGAGATGTTCCTATCATCCCATATGGATGTTTCTACGACGTCTTACAGATGTTATTGTGTTATTAGGGTAACTCCTCTTAAACAGGCTGATTCAAGGTGAATGGCACATTAAACGTTTCTGAAGAACGCAACTCAAGATCATTCTAGAAAGTTGGTGTCTTGGATAATTAGTGGTGTTCTATCGAATTGAAATATTCTCAGCGTTGCGACGTTGCCGCTTATATTGAAAAGTAGCAACATTTTAGATTTTTTCAAAAGAACACTCTTTATATCTTCTCATTTTCAGATTGTTCCTGATCCTTGATCCATCTTTCACACTCGGAGTCTAGCAGGAATGATAACAGAGATATAGGGTGTGAAAAATCAAAATTTTTCAACTCCAAGAATTTTTTGTTTCGAAACTATTCATAATTGATCAAAACGATTTGTATGTCTCCACCTCAAATTCCCATGTACTATCTATTGATAGTTAATCGAAATAAATACAGGGTGGTTTAGAACTCATATTTTTGACCACCCTGTATCAATCTAATATCGATTGTTAGTACATGAAAAATTGAGATAGAAACATGTGAACCGTTTTGATCAATAATGAATAGTCTCGACACAAAAAATTCTCAAAGTTGGAAAATTTCGATTTTTCACACCCTATATCTTTGTTATCATTTTCGTTAGACCCCAAATGTGATAGATCGATGAAATCAGCTCTTCAGGAAGAATCTGAAAATTGAATGTTATACAGGGTGTTTCATTAAAAAAAATCAAAGTTGTTGCTACTTTTCAATGAAGGTGCCTCCTAAACTGTTCTGAATAAGAATGAATCGACATTGTCCTTCCTCATACTGACCATTTAAAATTTAACATCAATTGACTTTGAAAAGATTTCTGATAGGTGTTCACAATACCAGACCAAGTAAACCTGAGTACCTCTTTCCATGGGATCCAACACCAGTCTTGCTATTTTTAAGCAAATGACATCCTTCGCCAATACTAAAAGCGAGAAGAGGTTAAATACTGTCTGTAGGTTAATCGAGGAGGTGGTACATTCATTATTCCAAATTTTTTGGGATTTTCTCTCCTCGTTTCTATAAAATAAAAATATGAATATTATTTCAATGTACGTGTAGTAAGGAAAAATCAGATGATTTGCCCCAAAATGTCACTGCGTTTAAAGAAATTTCCTATCAGAGAGCCTAAAAGAAAAATTCACTAGCTTGTCAGTGACAATTTGTATTGAAAAATTTTTGGAGAAGAGAAATAAAGGTATATAGAAAAAATATCAAATTTTCACTTATCTTTGGAAGTTTCGGGACCGATTCTGCTCCCGTTTTCAACATAAAGAGATTTTTTCTATTGCGAAGTCGTATTATATGTCTTGAAGCTTTTCACTTTTCAATGACAATTGGTGACGTTGGCAATCAAAGGAGTTACAGGATGTTTTCATTAATTGATCTTGAACGGAGACAATAGCATTCCTTCTTGTTCAGTTGATATAGACAGAACATGGTATTCACTACTAAAATCTGAACATGAAAATGGTAAATTCAAGATCAATTAATGAAAACATCCTGTAACTCCTTTGATTGCCAACGTCACCAATTGTCATTGAAAACTGAAAAGCTTCAAGACATATACTACGACTTCGCAATAGAAAAAATCTCTTAATGTTGAAAACGGGAGCAGAATCGGTTCCGAAACGTCCAAAGATGAGTGAAAATTTGATATTTTTTCTATATACCTTCATTTCTCTTCTCCAAAAATTTTTCAATACAAATTGTCACTGACAAGCTAGTGAATTTTTCTTTAGGCTCTCTGATAGGAAAATTCTTTAAACGCAGTGACATTTTGGGGCAAATCATCTGATTTGTCCTCACTACACGTATATTGAAATAATATTCATATTTTTATTTTATAGAAACGAGGGGAGAAAATCCCAAAAAATTTGGAATAATGAGAAGAGGTTACTTTCAAACTGGTAACTTCAATAGCCCTAACTTCAGCACGTAGATCGAAAATTAACTCAGATAACATATTTCTTCCTGCTAGAAATTTCTGATAGAATAAAAACTTCAGGCTCCGGCAAAAATCAACCCATTATTATTGTGTAATTTCCAAAGGAGAAGCGAGACCGATGTTGCCTCAACTCTGAAATGCTATTCAGAAATAACAAGACAATGAGGCCAGAGGACATAACATATTATAAAAAGCTGGTCTTCTGAATCAGACCCAAGATGATGAGTGTTGAATTATAGTCGAAGTGTCCATCCGTGTATTTGCTGAAAGTCCACGTACGAGTTCTCTTGAGATGATGAGTGTTGAATTATAGGTCGAAGTGTCCATCTGTGTCTTTGCTTATAAGTCCGCGTACGAGTTCTCTCGTATCACTTTTTCTCGAAGTACATTTTGGGATATTTCTCTCATTTGTTACTACTGAAGGTGGGTTTTCAGTTTCCCCAATTCAAAGATAAATTCATGGAGTCTAAGAAAAGTTTTCAGTTTTGCTCATAAAGAAAAAAAAGGATATCTGCAAAATCTTATCATAGAGTGTTTGAATGGGGACGGTATAAAAGGAACTGTTGAGTTTGGCGATATTGGAGATGAAGACGAAAATGATAATCTAGAGGTAGGAAATGATTAAACAGACACCAAACGAAACATTTCGGACTCTGATGAGAATAGTAAGATTGATTTCTAGTGCCAACATTCAAAAGCAAAGACAATGTAACCATATGTTCAAAGAATCCAATGCCTAGGCATGGAAAAACTATAAGAGATATCTGATAAATTATTGTTTCCGGGTGAAGATACTCTTGAATTTGACAAAAATAAAAGACATTTTCAATCTCGTGTATACATTGACATCAATCAGTTTGTTCAGAGCATTCGTTGATTATTTGTCGCGATTGTTCTGTGACAGATCAGAAGAAAAAATGTTTCATTTACATATTTTCTGAATTATAGTTATCTATGTTTCAAATATTCATCTGAACATAGATGCATTTGTTTTTCTGAATATCAAGATATTTTTATGAATAAAAATTTGAATCTATATGTAGAAACTCTACTCACGATTAGATTTCCACGAAATCCTTCATCACACGACATGTTTCGCTAACACAGTAGCTTCATCAGGATAAATACTAGTACAATGAAAAATAATTTCGTCGCAACATTATTTCACCTGATTAGTTGTTGTTAGTTAGTTAGTTGAAGTTACTGTGTAAGCGAAACATGTCGTGTGATAAAGAATTTTGTGGAAATCTCATTGTAAGTGAATTTTCTACATTTGCTATAGATTTCCATCGAGTAACGGCCAAGTCGATAAAGAAAGAATTAAATCCATATGCTTCTTTCCATTGCGGACTCTTCGTCCTCGTGCGATCCTTCTTGTGTCAGGAATCAGCGAGACGTCAGAAAAGTGAGCAGGCGTGGGTATAGATATCATAATTAAAGACAGCTGTATGGTTAGAGGCATCTGACGTATTCAAGTTTTAAATATCAAAACTGATAACCCTGACATAGATGGAGCAAATGAGTCTGACGGCCTGAATAATAATTTAAGAATCAGTTGCTGAAAATCTCATGAATTGTAATGTGCAAAGATTTGCATTTTGATAACATATTTGCTATGGGTGTGAAAAATGTTATAACGTTTATTATCATTATTTTTATGACTCATGTTTTGTAGTTTTGTTGTTGTGGAATATAGTCTGATCTGTTGAATACTCAGTATTCCATACAAAATGATTTTCTCCTGTATCAGTTGAAGTGCATATATTTATTATCTACAGGATGTTGTAAGTATCGAGTATCGAACAATAGAGAATAATTTGATAATACATCGACTCACCTAAGGAATATCAATCTGAATTACACGAATAGTTTTGTATGGACATAATTACAATCTCACCTACCCATGTACAAGGTTCACCCTTTATGCAATCCAACCATATGATGAATAAATACGACAATCCAATGGTATACAAGTCAATGGCTGACAGAGATTAATAATCAAATCAGATCACTGACAGGGTCAGATTGAACCACAATAGAATTGAAATCGGAATAACCACTGGATAATTGCATGCTACTGCACCAAAACTTCTTGAATTTGTAAAAAGTTTATTCGTCAACAATGTGCATTCAAAGTTTGTCCTAACTGCTTGAACTGATTTTGTTTTGTGAACATTTGACTGATATATCATTTAAATAAATGAATGTTTTGCTTTGTTGCCGACTTTTTTAAATTCTTGGCATGAATATGAAACTAGGTCACTCTGACCCATCAGTAGTACTTGAGCTATTCATGTTTCTGGTAGTAGTTAAGGGTTGAATCCTGAATTTCTTTGTCGTTGATCATTTTGAATTCAGTGAATTCCGCATGAAATCGATCAGACGAAATACTTTCAATTTATAAATGATGTGAATCTGGATGAGACTGGAATCTAACACCTATGATTCAAATCTAACACCTATATAAACCCTGTTTATATTAACACATCCTGAAAATACTGCATGAATATAAGGCAGTTCTCCTATTCAGCAAATATTCTTATGGACAAAGACACATTGATTTAATTAAGAAATAACGGTTCTGGCTGGCTATTTTTGGTCCGCAAAGTTGATGTAGCTGTTTTCGAATCCCGTTAAAATACATGAATGCATAGTGAAATAAGGGGATACTTTTGTATCTGCAGTTTCAATATTTGATCTCAATCTCCAAAAACGATATCTTGAAAATTGAATTTGAATCAAATATGTCAACTGCATGATAACAAAAATCATATCAGCAAAAACGATGACGAATACATATCTAAGACACGTAACAATCGTCCGATCCAGGCTGCACTTCCCTCATCTGCTGCTTCGTTTTCTTACTGGCTCTCCTGATCAATGACCTAGACCTTGGTTTCTGGAGCGAGTCCTTTCCATCTGAAGTGGTAGCTTTTTCTAGTGCAGGACAAGCAGTTTTTTTTCTACCTTTATTAGAATGGTAAGCGCTAGACTGTCGTTTCAATCCACTAGTGTCTTCGGTGTCTTTTGGGAGTATCCGGGATAGCGAGAGGAACGTGCAGAATATTTCTCTGATGTTGATATCGTCCTTGGCAGAGCACTCCAGGATTTTCACTCTGTAAATTGATTGAATCAGTATCAAGATGTAGCAATTAGTGTGTTAGGTAGTTATGCATATATGAGCCCGAATTCAATCCTACTCAGAACGGTCCATACCTAGATGGAATTTCAGAACAATCAGGACGATATTGGCAGTATATATTCGTATCGCGGATGTTGGTGATATTTTTCAATTCTGGAGAGATAATGAGGAGTAATATATAAGGAAGGACGAGCGAAACACATAGACAGACAGGATGCGTTTCCTAACTAGTAAAATCCTTCCTGATTTTCCTAAAGTTCTACCGATTATGTACAAAATTTAGTAGTCCAGTTGACTATGCCCATCACTTTGAAGTATCCGTCGAACACTAATATGGTCACAGATCAGCTACAAAATTCACGAGATAGACTCGTTTGCTATTTTCATAAGTGGAAAATGTCTGATTCAAGTTCGGATTCCTCAAGTGATATCGAGGATCAGCGAAAAATGCATTATTCTTCTTATCCATCTTCATTCTTATTTCGTATCTGGTGTTGTATTGAACATTTCATCACCAGTTATGTGATATTTTACTTCACACAATTGGTTACTCAAAGTAAACTTTTCAAAGCTTCCGTCAGTTTTGGAAAGTGTCAAATAATATGTCAGAATTAGTTAAAATATCTTTACCAGATCTGAAAAGTGATTACTTTTTTCAAAAATCGAACCTAACTTGACCTGACAGATGATATCTGATCAGAGAAACTTTTTTCCTCTACGCATGAGGAAGGCGAGTTCTCAAACAACTGAGCCTAATATACAGTGCTCTCGTAGAGTACGAATACATTCATTCCCAGGCAAACTATACATTTATGAGGAATCCATTGGAACAGGTCTATTTCAATTTTGTATTCGCTACATGACTGAGTAGAAATCAAATATACAGGATGATTCACGTTCGAATGATGACGTCCACGACAATAATTTCAAATATTATCCAATTTTTTTATATAAAGCTGAATTCAAAAATATGCTTCACATACAGTTGGCATACAGTGCGTCCGTTGAATTGATTGCTCACATAAAGTAGTGAATATACTCACTGAACACATTTGTCATATTAACATACATATGTCGTCAGTTTCATATAACGGATGTTCCATTACTTAATCCCCTCAAATTGACGTCAATGTACTGTGAGTTGTAAGAAAAAAACTCGAATGATCTTATTTCTCTTGTTTTTACAGCAATGTTCCATGTAACAGTGATATCACTTTTACTAAAATACGGTCTGTAGGTTGAACGAGGAGGTGGTACATTCATTATTCCAGATTTTTTGGGATTTTCTCTCCTCGTTTTTATAAAATGAAAATATGGATATTATTCCAATATAGGTGTAGTAAGGACGAATCAAATGATTTTTCCCAGAATGTCACTGCGTTTAAGGAATTCTCCTATCAGAGAAACTGAAAAAGAAATTCACTAGCTTGTCAGTGACAATCTGTATTGAAAAAGGTTTGGAAAAGAGAAAGAAGGTATATAGAATCGAATTTCCACTTAGCTTTGGATGTTTTGGAAAGGAATCTGCTACCGTTCTCAACATGAAAATTCAGAATATTCTTCTTTGGAAGATTTGCTCTGCTTATAGTTTGACACTTATCAGTGTCATACTGATGTCGGCATCATAGTGATCTTGAATCTACCATTCTCATGTTCAGTTTTCAGTAGTGAATACCATGTTCTATCTATATCGAGTGAACAGGAAGCAATGCTATTGTCTCCGTTCAGAAGAATGCAAGCGGATTCCTTGATTTTTCTTTTTTGGTTGTTACCTTCCATTCTTATGATTCTGATATTATTCCACTTTTCCATATGTTGTCCATTTTTAATGAGGATATGTTCTGTCAGAAGAGGAAAAAGAATTCAAGCGGATTCCTTGATTTTTCTTCTTTGATTGTTATCTTCCATTCCTATGATTTTGATATTATTCCACTCTGCCATATGTTGTCCATCTTCGGTGAGGATATGTTCTGTCAGAAGATGGACAATATATGGCAGAGTGGAATGATATCAAAATCATAGGAAAGGAAGATAACAACCAAAAAAAGAAAAATCAAGGAATCCGCTTGCATTGTTCTGAACAAAAGAATTATGCCAAACCTCACAAAAGAATTGCTTCCTGTTCAGTTGATATTCTTTGATTTTGATTTGATTTGATTTATTCATAATGATATATGTGATACAATTTATATAGATTATAAGATTAAAACATTACACCCCCACCAGAAGGGCAGAATCCACCTAAGCAAGTGAAAGCTTGTGTCGTGGTGTTCTATGCTTCAGTGTGGAAATAAATATAATAATGATATATACAGATAGAAAATGGTAGTCACTACTGAAAACTGAACATGAGAATGGTAGATTCAAGATCAATCGATGAAAACATCCTGTAACTAATTTGTAGACTAAAGTCACTGATTCATATGCTAACATCAGTATGACACTGAGAAGTGTCAAACTATAAGCAGAGCAAAACTTCCAAAGAAAGATATTTTGCATTTCCATATTGAGAACGGGAGCAGATTCGTTCTCGAAACGTCTAGAGCTGAGTGAAAATTTGGAATTTTTCCTATATACTTTCATTCCCCTCCTCCAAACCTTTTTCAATACAAATTGTCACTGACAAGGTAGAGAATTTTTCTTTAAGGCTCTCTGATAGGAAAATTCCTTGGACGCACTGACATTTTGGAGCGAATCATCTGATTTGTCCTTACTACACGTATATTGGAATAATATCCATATTTTTATTTTATAGAAACAAGAAGAGAAAATCAAAATGACTTTCACATAACATTCTCACATATCAAAATTACATAACCTATTCGTATTTATGATCATTCTCAGAAATTATCTGAAGAATCATGTCAATTCTATATAAATTCAATCACAACAGATTCATCTGCAACAAACGGACGTGACAACGACCAGTCTAACTGCAGTACTTTTCGAGTTCTCACGAACGAACACGAACGATGAATAATCGAGCTGGTTTCACTCGAAAGTCGAAAGAGGTATCGTTTCGAGTTGTTATGTTGTGTTGTGTTATTGTTCCTTGACCAGCGAGTTGAGCCAGTGCCTTGAGAATTGGGATATTTATGTTTCAGAAATTTGATGGGGACGCGAAATACTTTATTTGGGTGAGTTGAATGATATGTTCAATGCATGTTATGATTGTTTCAAAAGGTATCAAACAACTCGGAATGTTGAAGAGATTTTGAGATATAATTTGAGCTGAGACGGGTTTTTGGGGGGGTTAGACAGAGTAAAGAATACGCCAGGAGTAGAAGCTGGAACTGGAACTTTATTCGTCCGCGTGGTACTTCGGCTATTATAGAAAACACTCATCTCAATCAATCCATAACAACTAAAACATCGTATTCATTTACCTATTATAGAAACACCAGGCTGCACAATAATTCCCATACAGGGGTAAAATACTGACAAAACCGAAAGGTTGCCTCTTTACATCACCGATTCGAACCCAACGTTAACTTCAACCAGACATTTAAATCCACCTGACAAGGGGAACGACCTCCGCGCTGCGATCGCTGACCGTTAAGGAAGTTTGAAAAAACTGTTTCCGCACGCCAAATTCAAAACAAATGAAGACATTGATATAGTCGATGGAAGTCTGTCACAGAACCACAGGTTAATGCAGACGGACGCTGCGGCGGCTGAGTTGTTCACGAATCTTGGACTAGCAAGTTATATGGCAATACGGTGGCTCGGGACTGGCAACACTGTCACCCGACATGAACCCATTTTACAATAAGAAATAAAAAGAGCGAAAAGATAAGGTTAGGATCGTGGACCTAACCTACAATATGAAGAATGTAAATAACAAATGTATTACAGCCACAGCCGATGAACGATTATTATTCCAGCTCACCTGCCCACCTCTGAAGCGGCTGTATCTGTCAAGAAATGCCTGCTTCACCACCATAATAAGGCCTTAAATGGCTCACGTGAAAAATTCCTCTTTCTTTGCCATTTTCAGGGTCTTCCAACACATAAGAAGCAAAACTAACAGGTTTTTCAACACGGTATGGACCTTCAAATAGAAGTAGAAATTTTTTTGTCTCTTGATTAACAGCAGAAGAAATTGGATTCGCTTTTAATAACACCATATCACCATTAGAAAGAGTAGGATAGGGCCGACTAGGAAAACGAGCAGCTCGTCGGGCTGCTTTGCCTACTAGGGTTTCTCTCGCCAGTATGAGTTTCTGGTCATACCCCAATTCATCTCTGTTGGCCGGACGAAATCTTTCTGGCAACAAACTTAACCGTTCGTGACCAAACTGTAATTCGTTTGAAGAATGACCATTGGATTCATGTGTTAAAGAATTCAAGAAATTAGTAATATTTGAGACTTCTCAAGAACAACGGGTGTGTTGTCCTGAGCAATAGGTGCGAAACAATCTGCCAAGTTCTTTCATAACTCTTTCTGCTGGATTTGCCTCAGGATGTCGAACAGAAGTATACATGACCCTTACACCATGTGGCTCTAGAGTTTTTTTCCACAAAGTTGCAGTAAATTGTGTCCCTCTTTCCGAGAGGATGCTTTGGGGGAGGCCTACATTGGGGAAATAGTCATTTTCAAGGCGGTTGAGGCACGCCTTTGCAGTAGCTTTTCGTAAGGGATATAAGGCTACAAATTTGGTGAAAAAATCTATGACAACTAAAAGGTAGGAAGCGCCAGCCCTACTTTTTGGCAATGGCCCAAACAAGTCCAAAGCAACTATCTGACCTTTTCCAGTAGGCAAAATAGGGTTCACAGGAGGCTTTGGCAGACCAACTGATTTTGCTTTTTGACAAATATGGCATGTTTTAATCACCCTTTTCATATCCCGATACATATTAGCCCACCAGACCTCAGACCTGAGCACTGTCGAACACTTATAGGACCCATAATGGCCTGAAGCCTCATGATAAGCATTTACAAAGTCTGTCACCAATGATGATGGTACACACAAC